ACCTTCTCTACTTACTTGCCTTTGCTACTGCTTGGTGGATAAAAGCCTGCCTAGACTAAGCTACTGACTGCCATATAATGGAAAGAACAATTATAATTGTTACTCTAACTCTGCCATTTACTAGGTATTTGGCCTCGGTTCTGTTAACCTCTTTGAGTTCCTCTTCTCACTTGATAGTGGAATGATACCCAGATCATGATATCATGTGTATAAATTATCTAGTACCTTACAGGATCTGCATAAGTTACAGCTTTTCCTTTTCACCCCTTCTTCAGCCTTTTGTTGATAAGTCAATAGAGTAGTTCTGTTTCCTCAGAAAGAGCCCCACTTGAGTCTCAATACTATACCGTCTGTGGAGGTTCCTTGCCTCTTGCCCATCTTTCAGCTATCTCAAGAATTAATTGTACTCAAAGAAAAATGTACTGATAGTTTTCTCTCCCTTTTTCCTTCAAAATGCCTTTCATTAAATGGAGGCTGGTAACTAATGAGGGCTAGAAGAGGAAGAACTGCAGAAGTCGAGTAGTTGAGCTGATGGAAGAACTAAGTGATCTGATGATGAATTCTGATAAAGGTCGCTCCCTATGAATTCCTGTTAGTTGACCATATATTTAAAAAAATGAAGTTTGTGTTTTAAAAAACTTTTTCCCAAGAAATCCTCTTAGGTGTTTTTGTTTGAAGTCTTTTAGATTAGTTCCCTGCAAGAACTAATGTGATAATTATAATGAGATTGTTGTGTCGACAAGTGATGAGTATTTTCTTTCTTACAAGGGAATCAGTATAATGAGTTCTGGGACTTGCTCTGGGGACACCAGAAGTAAATGGTAGAGAGTTCAATTTGGGAATTGGCAACTGTAGCCAGTAGGGTAGTGAAAGCTACAGCAGTTGGAAATAGAAAGGCACTTTTTTTTTTTTTAACTAGTCATACAAATCTTAGGGGATAGAGAGTAAAGGCAATAATATGAATTTAAACTCTAAAAAATATATACAGACACATATGTATGCTTTTCTCTATAGGGTAACTGTACTTCTAGGTGCTTCATATACATTATGTCTCATTTTAACACCCTTGCATGGTGTCGACATAATAACATTTTATATATTTTACAGACCAGAAAATTGAGGTCCAGAAAGGTTAAGTAACTTGACCTAAGTAACTCTCTTAATAAGCAAACGGGCATCATGTTGACATCATACTTGACATCATGTTGAGTAGTGTGAGTGAAATGACTATTACCAAAACTAATTTGAAATATCTAGCGTCTACCAATTAAAAGACAATTATTATTTTGTCTGTATTGACTTTTGGGGCAGAATTGTTAGAGTATGATATTCAACATGCTAACTTCCTCGAAGGGAGTATTTTAGCATTGCAGAATGATTCTTCAGGCTAGATTTCCTTTAAACTCTGAGGTTAATTAAAAGGTAGCTTTTTGAGGCCGGGGATTTAGCTCTGTGGCAAGCTCCAGGACTGAGTTCTATCCCCGGTACCAAAAAAAATAAGGTAGCTTTTTGAAAAATTTTTTGCCAAAACTTGTGGAGTCTTCAGTTCAGTGAAACATCAGTCTGAATTGAATATCACAACATAAACTAATTTGTTGTTTATCAATTGGCATATTTAATCATAATAAGTATTCACATAATCATGTTTGCTATTTTATTCAAATCTAGATAATTATCAGTGATTATACAAAGTAAATTCCATATTCTTAGATAGTTTTCTAGGTTCCAATTGGAAGATCCCCAGATTTGCAATTAGAAGACTTGGGTTCCAGACCCCCACCTTTAAAATTTTTTTTTTCTGATACCAGGGATGAAATTCAGGACCTTGCTTGAACTTGTGAGGTAGGCGCAGTGCCACTGAGCTAAATTCTCTGCCCTTCAGTCCCCCTTTGTTATTTATGGACCGGGAGACCTTGGACATATCACTTAACCTCAGTGAACCTGAACCTGAGTTTCCCTTTTCAATCAAAAGGGAATATAGTTGTCCCTCTGTGTATGCAAGGATTGGTTCCAGGATTCCCTCAGGAATCCTGCTCAAGTCTCTTAGATAAAATGGTATATTGGTGTATAACCTGTGCATATCATCCTTTATATTTTGAAACAGTGGCTTTCAATCATTTTGGCCTCAGATATTGGAAGATAGTTTTCTACAGACAAGGGAGAGGGGTTTAGTTTCTTTTTAAAACAATATGTTTATGATACATAATAATTACATTCTCCAGTGCTAGCACCAGCAGCTCATCTCTACTCATCATCAGGTGTTAGATTCTTGTAAAGAGCACGTAATTGAAGTCCCTCATACATGCATTTCACAGTAGGGTTCACACTTGTGTGACAATCTAATACCAGTGCTGATGTGACAGGGGTTAGGCAGTAATGGGGAATGGCTGTAAATACAGATGAAGCTTCACTGTGCACCTACTTCTTGCCCTCACTTACATCTTGCTGTGTGGTCTGGTTTCTAATAGGTCATGGACTGGTACCTGTCAAAAGCCAGAGGTTGGGAGCCCTGCATTAAATCATCTCTAAGTTAGTTTTTGATACTTAATACAGTGTAAGTGCTATTTAAGTAGTCGTTATGCTCTATTGTTTAGAGACTCCTGAGAAGAGAAGTCTGTTTGTGGTGTAAAGTACAGACATGTGCCCGTCTTCTCCCACACATTTTGCATTTGTGGTCAGTTGAATGTGCATGCAGATGCTGAACCCATGGATATGGATACATTATTGTAACCCCTAAAAACAGGCTTACCCCATTAAGGAACAGGTACTGTGTAAGTCATTTTGCATATATTACCTCTGTTCTTGTGACAATGCTATGAGGCAGATGGTGCTCTCATTTGAAAGCTGAAGAGTTGGAAGCCAAGAGAGGAATAAACTCTCTACAGTCAAGGCACTAATAAGTTACCAGAGGCATATCTCAGGTCAGTGTGATTGTAACAACTGGACATAACTAGGACATGGGCCTATTATGCTATAGGTACCTCCAATTTTTTAAGGTTAAGTCAAAATAATACAAGTTCATTGTTCAAAAATTGTTGAAAATATAGGTATAGGACTTCCCTGCCACCAA